CAAAGGTCAGTGGTTCGATCCCTGGATGCTGGATATTCTGCGTGCTGGAGTGTCCTTGAGAAAGTAACCCTGTGTGTTAATGGTTGTGTGAGTGTGACCTGTGAAGCTGTTTGAGTGGTGCCAAAGTGTAAATACTGTCCATTTCCGCCCATAAGAGACTGACCTCAGGTTAATTATGTGCTAATGTACAATTAGTGGAATTATGTGACGCTAAGTTCAGTATTTCACATTTACTTTACTCAGCAGGAAAAGGAAATTGATTTTTTTCCCACAATGCTTTTGGCGTTCAGCAACCTGCTTGGGTCTATTCTGGAATCAATGACCTCATCTGTTATTATAATATCAATCATTATACCAATTATTTTTTAATTATACGAAGAAAAGCTGAATTGAGACCTTGAGGATGAAGTTGAACATCGCGATGTTAAAATTATAATTTAACGAGAGAAAAAGTCAAAACGATATGTTGATAAAGTCTATTATGAAACGTTTGAGGAAATTTCATCTGAATCCATGTTCTTTTATTTCTTCAGAAAAAACTAAACACTGTACGTTGTCATCCTCACCCTCCAAACTGAAGAAGGAGTTTGCTGCAGACAACTTAACAATAAAAGTTCTTACAAAATCATCTGTCCCACAATAAAGTTTGAGATTAAAGTTCATGACACAACTGCCTTTGTCGTGTTTGTGGTTATTGCCGTAATCTCTTTTTAGTGACGTAGATTCTTTATCGATCCGGAGAGAAATTTCATCCTGTTAAACCTGAAGAAAAACCTACGTCTGGATAAAACCGTCAGATTCCTAAACGCTCTATCATCCCAGCGTTTTACATAACGTTTGTCTGTATAATGTTTTTACAGTTAAAGAGGTGCAGTGACAATTATATTGAATCTATGTTATATTATCATTATTTATTCTGCAGGTCATGGGTGAGTTTTACTTTGTTTACATGTGGGTTTGCTCACGACTTCATGACTGCAACCAAAGTGTTGAAACTTACCAACTATCAAACACAATAACAGCTTCATGGAAATTTCCCTGACGCGTTGAATTAGACTCAAACCAGAGAGAAGTAAATTTCTATTTGGGGAACATCTTCAGTGAGAGGAAGTTGCACTACAATCGCCATAAACTTTGATTCAACTCACCTGGATTTTCTTCACTTCCCTCGTGCACGATAAACATTGCTTCATATTCATTTTGCTCGCCAACATGGCGTCACTGTCAATGCTGGGATGATTTGTGAGAGATCTCCGTCGCGTTGCTTTCCTGTCTGATCACTGTGCAGATTCCGTTTATCCGGAGCGGACCACTTCGTTTGTTTGTTTGGTTCCCTGAGCATCACACCGACTCATGCGGATGAAGCCTTTAGGAGCAAGTGTGTGTTTGTTGTGTTCGTTTGAGTGAAGCAGTGTTTTCCAGTGTGTAAACTTCAGCAACAAATCTGGACATTTGTGCTTATATAACATAGAGAGAAGCAAAACCAGAGCAGGGGAAGTGTTCCGCATGAGAGTGTGTGTGTATGTGTGTGTGTGTGTGTGTGTGTGTGTGTGTGTGTGTGTGTGTGAATGCTCTTAAACAGATTTCTTTACAAACCAGGAACATCTGAGGCAAACTGGTGATATTGAACTTTGTAAATAAAATAAACTTGTCTACATGCAAAAACAGTTGGAGTGCATAAGGCACGAGGAAAACATTACGTCGGTATATATCAAGATTAAAGTCACATCCCCGAAATCCAGTCAGCTGTTTGGTCAAAGTGAGGATTTTGGAGAGGATTTGAAAACAGACCGAAGTTTGTAGCTTGAGTTCTTCCGGTGAACTCGTCTTGAGGGTCGAGCTCCTTCGAGGCTGAAGAGTCTTCGGTCGCGAGGAGCGAGTTTGACCTTATCCAAAGGTCTCAAGCTGCAGGCTGGTGATAACTGATTTAGAAGCTGAGTGCTGAACCATACAATGACTTTCACATTTAGGAAGTACAGTATATACAGCACACGATGGTCAGTGGAGCTGCTCCCTGGAAGATGAATATTTAAATTTTTAAAATGTGTTTTTGCAGAGTGGAATGTGTCGCACGTCTGTTTGATGCAATGAACTCATGCACATCATCAGCAGACAGAGCAAACAGCTCGGATTAACAACGTCCTGAATCTTTTCACTTCACTGCAGAAAATTCGAGGAAAAAACTCATAATTTATCGAAACTGTCAGTGAATGAAATATAACAGGATACACATAACATTTAGTAATAATACACATGCTGCCGTCCAATGAGAACGCTCGGTGCAGCAGGTGACTTTGTATTTTCAGGATTTGCACCAACACACTTCTGCAAAATAAAAAATAAAACAACAGAAAGTCACACTGCAAGTTTGTTTTGCTTCTCTGCTTTTTTTTTTTTTGGGGGGGGGGGGGGGGGGGAGCAAATAATGAGACGTTACATTCGCACAAAGAAAAAAAAGAGCGATCATTCTTATCTCCACTCGCTGCTGCGACCAGTGAAACCACATGTTTGGCTCGGTGCTAAATTCATGGTTAACTTGAGCAACATATGGCTGCTCTGCATAGATAAAACGTCATGAGCATGATCTGGAGCAGAGTGCATGTTGTGTCTGTTGTATGACGCTTCAAAAATCATATTTAATGATTAATGATCATGTGATCTTTTTATTTACAGGTTCAAATAATTATTTTATTTTGTAAAAAATGGTCAAAACCGAAGATTGAGAGGAAATTGCAAACTCCCAGATGGAAAACAAGCAGGAATTTCATCGCAGACTGTGACGTGCATGAACTGTCCGACAGGGAATCGACTCTTCGTTCTTTGAAAAGTCGCTTTTTAAAAACATTTTTTAAAATCCTGTGTTTTTTTTTTATAGCCCCAGTTTGCAGCTTTGAAAAACAGTGTTGCATTCACTCCCAGTTAAGATAAGACGTGGCCATAAACAGTTTCCAGGACAGAGGTTAACGTTTGCTGTCGACACATATCTGTGTTTTATCTTTCGTGGACGAGCTCAATAAACAGTGAAATGCGGTCAAACGTAGATTAAGGAGAAAACGAGACACGTTATAAAAAACACATATTTTTCAAAGTGAACATATCCTCACAATGTCTGTGAAGACAACGCACAAGTGTCTGTGACTGTGTGGGTAAAAGCTTCTATGCACCTTCACTCTTATTTGCAGACATCGGATATGTAAACCAGCCTCTCCTCTTGTGCTTGATCATTTCATCAGACATAACCACACGTCTGTCTGAGGATTCAAATCCTCCTCCTCCTCCTCCTCCTCCTCCTCCTTCTTCCCACAATGTTATTTCCTTGGCAACACTGACAATGCTTCAGCCTGCAGAAGAAGAAGAAGAAGAAGAAGAAGAAGAAAGATGCAGCAGAGGGAAGAAACGAAAGCTACAATTTGAAATTGATTTAATTTCGAATCATTTTTCTAGTGAGCACGTGGAATAGAAAGCATCTCCAATAATTCCTGCTCATCAGAAATGCAGCTGAAACCACTGATAACGTCTTCTGGAGTCTGCACGGTAGCAGAGTCCCACCCATACACCGACATCGACCAATCTGCGAGTCAGTTTCAGCTGTCAATCATGATGTTTCATGTTGGTCCATGTCCCATCCGCTAACATGGATGAAGCAGGGTATATTACTCCTAGAGTTATTTACAGTCTGGTGCGACCCCACAAACCAGGTTTTTTACTTTGTTGTGAGTGAGATCTTGTGAATCTACTTTTCTTACGGTTGCTACGATGCTAGGTAAACGGACGACCATTGAGGGCGGGGCCAGTGTGACTGAGTTGAACGTGTCGCCTCCTACTTCCTCTGGAAAACTACAGACGAGGTTTTATTTAGAGAAGTTGTGAACTTGGGTCTGTGGATTGTGTCGGTCGTTGGACACACCGCTGAAGTAACCGACGATGCGATGCATAAAGAAACAACAACAGTTCGGTAAATTATTCAAACGTAAACAGATAAACCAGGTAGGATGCACACAAACTTTTCTGACTTCGCTCTGCACCATAGACTGTTTGAAATCACAGTAGCTCTGGGGCATAAACACGGGCGAAGCAAACATCCCATTCCAAACAGGAAGCTCTAGAAACAGGTTCTGGTTTTAATGGAACAAGCTCGGTAAATATTCTAAATCATTGGGTGGCAGGAGACAGTTTGAGTTGCACTGGAGAAACCACATTTTTATTAAAGAGGACTGAGATGCAGCGGCTGGAGCTAAACGGACTCAAATAAATATTCATTGATATCAATAATTGCCCCTGGAAACAGAGCAACACAAGCTGCTGCTGTTCCTCCTCACACTGAGCACGTGCCCATGAGAGCCGGTTTAGATATTTAAAAAA